GAATGAATGAATGAATGAATGAATGAATGAATGAATGAATGAATGAATGAATATGTAACCTTGTGTGCAGGTAGTGCTGACAGCCTGAATGATGCAACAAAAAGAATGGGCCTAAAAATTAATACATGAGGCCAAGATACTTTTGTTTAAAAGGAAAAATGGGTTATACACACATGGTAGAAACTAGAGCAAGTCAATGGATTTATGCCCCTTGGTGCTATGTTTACTAAAAATGGGGAGAGGGTTGGAGAAATTTAAGATGTGTAAATGCTAATTAGAAAAGCAGGGTGTAGTGTGTGGTCTGTTGTGAGGAATGAATTGTTTTGAAAGAAGTGAAAATTCCTGTTTATACGATTATGAGCATCTTTCTGCCCAATTTCTTACCTGAAACTTATCGTTTGGTAAGTCCAGAGAAACATCATAAAAGTTTAATGCAGCAGGATTGTTATACTTTAAAAATGTATGTGGTAAAACAAGAAAACATGGGGTCAAGAATGAATGAGTGCTTAATGAATGTTGATTGAACATAAATGTATACAATCTGTATGAAAAATGTAAGGTAAGTTCATTTATGGAGAAAAAATGCATGAGAACTGAATCACAAAGCTAATAGATGAAGGAAGAATAAATGAATCAAGAGAAGGGGAAGTCCAAGAATTGTGGCTGGATGGAGTTAATGAGATGCTCCAAAAGAGAAAGGTCTGAAGCTTAAAGAATGAAAAGCATCATATAAAGCAACAGATTCATGTGGTGGAAGCAATTATAGTTAGCAAGGTTCGAAAGGTATGTTGGTGAATGGTTTTGCCGTAAACTTGATTTATGTGTATTTCCTTTTCTTATCTTATGACTTAATCGATTTGGCTTTTAATTTCTTATTGTTTGCATAATATTGCTCATCGCAAAAGAGCAGGTAATCAATGGGTATATCTGTATCTACATAAATGTGTGAATATCCAAAATGAAACCAAAGCCTAGTTTATCCATTTCATGGAAAACATTTGCAGAGTTATTGGCCGAGTCCTGACCAATGAGCCTAGCAAGCAGATCATATCATTCCAACAAGATTTTAGAAAGATGAATGAAGTTCTGTCTTTCAATTTGTGCATTTCATGTTGAGTTGCCTTAATGCAATTCCACTGAAAATAACACCTTTCTGAGAGTAGAGCCATTAAGATTAAAAAGAGGTACGTACGGGAGGGCTACAGGGCTGCAAAATTCTGGATGACCAGGAGAAGGCAGCAAAGAATTAATGTTTTTGGTTGCCCTCCTCCCTTTTGTTTTTGCAGCCCAGATCTGAGAACTCTAGTTAATAGGCTTTAGTTTTATCACCTCAAGGTTACATTCACAAGTTCTTCCTGCCAACTTCAGACTATTGCAATTCCAAACTGCCACATTGAAAAGCGTTTACTGTCCTGCTAACCCTGGGAAAAGTGTTAAATTAAAGAGGTAAAACAACACTAGTAGGAGTTACACTAGTCCCACTTACATAATTTTTAACTATGACCTGACATGAAATAATGTAGTTTTTTCTTGGGTACCCTCATATGATATGCTGAACCATAAGTGAGGCAACCACAGTTTAACCTAGCATGTTGTAAGAACTCAGCCAGTGCCATTAGATTATGGCTTAGTGTGCTGTATAAGCCTAGAAAAACATGTTGAAAAACCATGGGTAAGGCAATGATGGATAAACATGCCATCCAAAAGCCCTGAAACTAAAGTAAGATGAATGACTGCTGTGCACTTTAGTTCCATTGTAAAAAAATGTTTCTTTCCAGCTTTTTGTTTATGCAGGAGCAATTTTTTTAAAAGTGACAACTCTAAATGATAGCTGACAATTTGATAAAAACATAAGCAAGGTTAATAATTGAAACACATTTGCAACTGTTAAAAAAAATCCCAGACATTAGGTTTTGGATGCTAAAATGCCGATACTGAAAAAAGAATTCCAAGATTCTGTCAAAACGTGTTTCACAAATATTTGTAAGAGAAAATATGTTTGGACAGATAATCCCCTATTTTCACTTGGGAAGCAGAGAGCATGTGCCAGAAATGCGAGCCAGAGGAATGCCCTTGGCATCTCCTTCCATTTACATCACACAGCTGGGAGAAGGGAGAAATTGCCCCGCCCAGACCACTTAGTCCAACAAACTGCACAGGCCGTTGCCCCAGAGCTGATCTCCCCTGTACACATTGCACCGATCGGTCCCTCAGCTCTGTGGCAATGGAGCATTCCAACCTCCGATGTGATTCTAAGTCACAATTTACTTACCTATGACTTGCTGAATAAGCCACAACTGGATGGGTTTGTACAAGATCCTGAGCCAAAACCAAACAAGCCGTACCAGGTCTTAGTGCAATGTGCACCCCCAGGACATTTCCATGTGTAGACGGATGGGCTAACTTGCCTTTATGTAGGCTGGATTCATGCACTGGGCTACATGGTGGCTTGTTCGACCATAGTTTGCAGAATAAGCTATGAATATCTGGCTGCAATGTATTAATCATAAATCATAGCTACCAAACCACCTCAGGTGCATTCATGCTACGAGCTCAATGAAAATCAAACAAGTCACATTATGGTTTAGCACAGTAAGTCAATCCAATCATTCATTCAATTTATTATCTAAATGATTTATAGCAACTTACAGGAGGAAAGATGTCTTTCTGCATGTTTAGCATGTATGCAGAAGATGGAATTTCAACAGGGGTAGCTTCCTTTACAGAATTTTCCTATTCTGCACACTCATGTTGCCATCTGTGTCTGACTACTCTAGCATACAGAGTTCAAATGTAAAACAAGTAACACTCCTCAGATACCAGAGTTAGAATGCCTGATTCCATTTCTTTAGGATTTTCCACAAGCCCTTTCTATACTGCAGAGTCAACATCAGGCAACCAACACTTAAGAAAATGCATTTAAGACTGTAACCATTTATCTCTTTATTACAAGGTTGTGCTAGTATACCCTCACATCTAATCTTACAGTATTGTCACAAGTCTGGCTGCAAACACTGCACATTTGGGCCCAGACTATGTTAAAACTAAGCAGATTGTAGACTAGTTAGTGTTGGGATGGAACTGCTTGGTTTGTGCTACTCTGAATTCCCCAGAAATAAATACTGTAAGTAAAAGTACTTGTTAGATTTATATTTAACCCCATACATCACACCCTCTCCTAATTTTTCGCCATAACATCCTTGTCAGGCTGGCTGGGTTGTGAGAAAGCGACTGGCCGAAAGTCAACTAGAAAATTTCCATGACTGAGGATGGTCTCAAACCAGTCTCCTCAGTCTTTCTAACCATTTGACCACTGTACTACACTGGTCCCATCAGAGACCCCTTCACGCTGAACTTGACTTCTGATGACTTCATGGACAGGCCTAGGTAGATTTCTTGAGAATGTTGCAGAGGTAATAGGACACTGTCTTCTCAGGGGATGTTATTTCAACTTCTCAGTCTAGTTTGGAGCCCTGGGATTTTTTTGATGGCCTCTCATTCAAATACTAATGAAATCTGAGCCTGTTTCACTTTCTGAGACTAGATGAGTTAATCAGTTCAAAGTCTCTAACAGACCATCGGTTGGATCTAGGCTGACATTAAAATCAGATGGGTAAGCTAAGCTCAGTTGGTTTTAATGAGTTTACTCTAAGCCCAACACAGATCTACCATGTTGTCTAACTCTGATGCATCCAGTGACCAAACTATAACCCAGTTTAAAGCCCAGTACCCACTGCACCTCCCAATTTGCTGCATCCAGCTCACAAGAGGTTGCCAGCTACAGGGGTATGAGCACTACTTCTGTTCAGTCACTGGTCTCCAGCTGCCAGCAAGCAAATCTGAATAGCAAACATCACACACTAAAAATACAGTTTCTTTCCTCATTATTTGACCAGCGGATGAACCCCATCCGTTTTGCCTGCTTCCTATATTAGCTGCACCTGAAGCTGCCTGTCAGTTACTTGCATAGCTTCAGCGCAAGATGTGGCTTACAGGAAACGGTGTTCATCAAAACACCCCACATGCTCTGCCAAAACACTCAAGAGCTTTTTAGGGTTCTCTGTTCAGATCAGTCAGGGGTTAGATGATCTGGAGAAGGGAGGGGGAACCTGCAAGCTTGGATGAGCTCAAAACAAGTTGCAATTAAGTTGTTTTTAATATACTAGCAATAATGCACTTTGCACAAACTGCTAACCACCAATGATTAAACGTATTAAATATAATTAGGGTTGCCAGAGAAACAGGAAGATTCATCTCATAACCACTGACATATTTATGATACAGGAAGTGTGGCATAGTGCAGGAGCTGCGAGAGCCATATTCCATTTTATGGTTTGGTACTTTTTTCAGTTTTGAAAAATCTGTTGCACTTGACAAAAGATTACAGAACAATTATATCCAAACAACCTCAAGTCTTGTCCACAATTCGCTAACCTAAGTCCATTTGACTCTAGAGTGTCTTTTCTCTTGCTGTTTTTGTTTTTTTTTGTTTTGAGCAGAAGATCGGTAGACAAGAACCTGTTTGGTTTCTTTTTCTATCTCAAACCTTAATCTGAGATTCAGAAATCCAGAATTTTCTCTCTTAAGTTGGGAATAAATGTAATAAACCAACTCATGAGAAACAGATGAAGCAGGGGATGGGAACACAGCATCTTTATTTTGAAAAATAAAAGGGTTTCCCCCCCTCAATTTTCCCCATTTCTCTCTACCTTTAAATTAGGAATAAATGTAATAATCCAACTCACGAGAAACAGATGAGGCAGGGGATGGGAACATATTTTTATTTTAAAAAAAATAAAAGTTTTTCCCTTGAGTTTCCCCCAATTGCTTAAATTTCCACTGGGAAAACAAAATCTGTTCTTACAAACCATAACTCAACACACTTACCTGAAGGAAATCTGATTTAGTTAAATGGCACTTGTTTCTGTATAGATATATGTTGCCATATTATTGCAATAGCCTACCACTGGTTTATATTTAACAAGAAATTTGGCTGAGGAAGAAAGCAAGCTTGATTTTTAAAAAATGAAGTATATTTACATGTAGGAGAGGAAAAAAAAACAGTGTTTGGGGGTTGCTTTTGAGCAGTTCTGTTAAGTCAAATCAAGCCATTAATCAGACAGATTACTGCCACTGTGTTGATTTTTATCCTTCAACATTTTTTTGAAACAGACTTTGTTCAGTTTCCATGAACTGTTGTTCAATGTTGTAACACGATTAAAGTCCTCCACTCTTTCTGAGAGGTGCAGGCACGAGTCAAACACCCACAGTCCAATCCAAGGTGTGCTTCTTGGAAAGCATGTCCTGTCTTCAACTCATTTTTCTTCAAGAAAGGATTTTTTCCCCTAGCTGGCATCTTTGATTGCACAAATGGGAATTAGCATTAATTCCTTCATGTTCTCATTTGCTTTGCAGCAATGGGAAGGCTGCCTTAAGCATGTATTATCTACCGCAGGGCAAGATGAAACCATCCCAAAACAGGGAACTGTAATCTCCTTGGCACCAGGTTCTCATAAGAATGTCTCCCCTTCCCCGCAACAGGACCCAGTAGTCCCTAGAGCGTACTTCAACCTTGGTTGTAATTCAGACCTAATGCAGCCTCCACACGTCTAGAGCTCAGGCCCAACTTTGCTGGTTGGGGCTCTCAATGAATTCCCCTCCATGCTCCCTAGCTCAGGGATCAAACCCATGCTTAGCAAGCAGGAAGTCCCAAGCAGCCTTCTTGGAGAAACTGCCGGTACCGACAACGCTGAGTTAGAGAAACCAACGCTTGCTGAGGTACAGGCAAGCACCTTACAATCTGCTGATCAGGCCTTATCCTTGAGACATCTGGTGGAAGGGCGAGTTTCTTTTCTAGATAACTTTGTTTCTCAGAAACATATATTACTTTAGGATTATGAAACGTCCTCTGAACCGGTGGTTTCAGTTACCACAGCTCGACCGCATTCTTTGGGGAAGACTGATCTGTCACATGGCTTTCTTCATAACCTTTCCAGCAAAGGAGCTGCCACTGCCCACTAACTGTGCCATGTTCTTTATCGCTGCATGACATGCAGGGGTAGGCAAAAGGTTGCTTTGTTTGTTTAATGGTAAGCAGCACCCTGGTGACTATTGTTGGAAAACTAGTTGGAACGATTTGAGAAATGCTCACCTATGTAAAGTTCACATTCTGGCACAAGCCCCAAATGAAAGTGCAGAGCACCCACCGCATTCATAGAAACAACTTTTAAGGCTTAGATGTCACAGGCAGTGGAGAAGGAAGCCTTTTACTACTATTTCATCACAATGATTCGTTATATTTAAGATTCCTTAAGAAGTTAAACCTGACTTTTTAAGGAAATAGCAATGTTTCATACTACATATGGAACACTGTGATCAAGATTCTGAAGCAAAATATCGTGTTCCAGCCCATTATGTATTAACCAGGTTGGTGATAATGAATGTGTGCAGCCCCTCCCTCTTTCCTGCACTGTTTCAGAAATCGTTTCGGAGCAAAACAGCTTGCCTATCATCTGCAAGTACAGCTTTTGAGGGCTCCCAGAGAATTTCAGAGGTCATGAAGTACAGTTTGAGACACCACAAGGTTATTACCACATGAGGCTATCTTGCCCGCATCCAAAAAGCAAGCAACCAGGCTGACAACTCAGACCGCACGTGTAGCAGCCAGACCTCAGGAGCACCAAATCTTCAATAAAAGGACTCCAAACCACCTGTCATTTTTGGAAAGGTTTATAGACCTTTGCAACGACTGTATGACACAGAGTTTGCCTTCCTCCTCTCTCTTGTTTCTGAAGGCACAAAGGTGCCTGTCAGGGGCCAAGGCCCTCCTGCTTCACAGCTAGGCTTTGCAATCCAGACCTAGGCCAGCTGCAGAACATCAAATGCACTTTCCACATATTTCCATTTAATATTTACATTCAAGCAATTCATAATAATTGGAAGCTTATAGTTTAGACATTTCTAGTAGCAGCAATTTCTATAATAGCTTGTTTAGCTTTAGATTATTGGGGGGGTTGCACATTGAGATAGCAACGTGTTAACAGTATGTGTGTGTGTGTGTGTGTGTATACACACACACACATACACACACACCTTATATATGCAAGGAAGGGATGGACCTGCAGTTTTATGAAAAAAGGAGCAAGGAAATCAAAAACAGAAGTGGCCTTTAAAAAGGGAAGAAAAGAAAATATTCTGATATAGCTTTTTTATATATATATAATATATATGTATTTAATATAATTATATATATATATATAGGGCAATCTAGGGAACTCCATAAATCTAGGCTTTTTATATTTCATTATATAAATACCTACAAATAAATATAATTGCATGACCCACCTGGGGAGGCCTGCCTTCAGTTCAAACAATACATTTTTAGCAACACCACATACAAACGGGAGCATGAACCACTGAACAAGTTAGCACTGTTAAAATATAATACTATAGAACTCCTCTCCCGTGAGTTAACTGGGGAGCCGGCGCCCCTCACCGCATCCTGAGGCCCGAGATTTTGACAGGCCAGAACAGCCTTGCAGGAAACCCTCAGTCCTGAAGGCGAAGCAGAAGCCTTGCTCCCTACCCTCCCTTCTTCCAGGCAGCAACGTGTGTTTGATCTCAAGAGGACCTGCTCTTGGCGCAGTGCCAAAGAGGTTGTCTGGACAGAGCAATATCTTAGGGGAGGAGTCAGGCTGCCAAGGGAGAGCGCCAGGACCCTGCGCCTCAGCTCCTCACACGGTCACATATTCCTTAAAGGTCACCGTCAGGCAGTTTGCCGTCACATCAGTAATTATTATATTCCCAAAGAAAGGCTTGAACTCCTGCACAGGCTCCTCTTCCTCCTCTTCCCCCTCCGCTTCAAAGTGCTCCCCCTGCTTCTGAGGCTCTGGCCCCAACTGTTCTGCTGGCACTGGCACAATCTCTGGCTTGACCTGCACCAGGCCCGGCTCTCGGTCCCCCCGAGCCTTGACGCACCGTAAGTCTATGGGCTCATCTAAGTCGGAGTCCAACAGGATGACCTCTGGCTGAGAGGTGGGAAAGGCAGGGGGCTCCAGTTTCTCTGGGGCAGGAGAGCTTAGGCAGGTGGGGGCACTGATGCTCCGGGAAGTGAGGCGCTTCTTGCCACTCTCCTTGTCTCCGTGGGGCTCAGAAAGGCAGCGTTTCCGGGACCCACCATAGCTGGGTGAAAGGCTCAGTCCTGGGGCAGGTGAGGTCTGCTCCTGCTGGCTGGAATCCAGGGACCAGGGAACCAGGTTGGGCTTGGTGGTAAGCTGCAGAGGCTGCTGCTCGGGAAGGGGCAGCTCTTTGCTGGGGGCCACAGTCTTGGAGGGGCTGCCTCCTAACTCAGAAGGAAGCTGACTGGCCTCTGTGCCGGATTTCCCTTTGAGACCGCCACCCAGCCATCTGTCCTCCACAGGCTTTTTCCAGGACTCCTGCCTCTCCTCAGATCCTCTCTTAGTAGTCCTTTCCTCGGCCACCCGCTTCTTCGGTGGCTCCCCAGATTTAATCTTTACTGCCTGCATGCCATTCTCCATGTACTTGCTCATGACAATCACAATGCGTCCATTCTTATTTTTATTCTTCACAATCTTCATTTTGCCACCAATGCCATTGCTGGTCACGCCCTCCCGGGAAGATGGTGGTGGTGGCCCTGTGCCACTGGAGAGGTTCTTCTCTGCCCCACTCTTTCCTTCAATCCCACTCAAACTCTTGACAGGGTTCAGCAAATTCTTTGTGGAGCCATGGGACCACTTGTCTGACTGGGACATTAACGGGCTTTTGCTATGATCCAAACAGGCCTGTCCTTGTTGTGGCTCCTTGCTGTTGGGCTGGTAGTGGGGTTCATACATCTTGGGGTCCGGCTGATAGTGGTGGTGCTTTTTGCTGTTCAGCTGATAGTAGTACTTCCCTTTGCTGTGCGACGGGTGTTTGATGCTGCTCCCCTTGCTGTTGGGCTGATATTGATGGTGCTTCTTGCTGTTGAGTTCATATTGATGCTGCTGACTTTTGCCTGAGCTGCTGAGATCCAGCTTGGGCCTGTTCTCCACGGCTGGGTCCTGCAGGCCACTGAGGATATTAGAGCGGCGTGCAAAAGACGGCAGCTGCACGGGGGAAAAAATACATTAGAAATTTCAGAAAAGCTTCAGGAATTGATCAGAACAAGCATCTGGCCTAGCAACACAGAAGAGTCTCTGCAGTCATGATAAAGAGGTGCTCTTGTAGCCTTTCCCTAACAGAGCTATATCGGAAAGTAGAAGAAATAAGATATTCTTTCACTCAATCCCCTTTTTGAGCACAAGGGCAAAACGCTATGTAAGCGGCATATGTGGAAAGCCAAAGAAAGGAAGTAGCCAGGAACGCAGATGAACAAAACATGCTACCGGTTGCAGCTGCATACCTCCTCTCTGGCTAGTTGTTTCTTGGCCCTGTGCTTTGCTAATCCCTACCGCTGAACTAGGCGCCATCCTTCCTAACCAGAAGGGTTTGCTCTAGAGAAGGCAAGGCAGTGAGTTGTGGGCAACAGGATTCCTTCTGCTGCAAACTTCCAAGAAATCTTTTAAATCTGGAAGACGTAGTTATGGACTTTCGGGATCCAGCCTGAGCCTGATGAACACTGTGCCATATCAGAGTTGACACTAGCCAAGAGGCCTTGTGAAGCCACTGTTAGGAAGTGTGCTGGCTGTAAAAGAGAAAGGGTGGGTAGAACAGGGCTTCCTAAGGCATTTACAATTAACAAGCCAAGTGTGCATATGGGTCTCCCAGAACATGATGAAACCAAGATGAAATTCTCCCCCTGGGATATGCACTAGAAAAGGAAGGGAATATTAATTAATTGAAGAAAAACAAACTAGACACCAACAAAGCCTCTTTAAAAAAAAAAAGTCAGCCTATTCAGCAAGATTCCACCTTCAGAAGTCAATAACTTTCAGTTTTAGTATAGATTGTTTCATTTCATCCTGATGAAAGAAAAGCAGCACAACTGACTGAATTTACCTGAACTACCAGTGGCTTTGGTTTTGGTCCTCGCTTGCGGTATCCCATAAGTTGCTCTTGCCTCTCCCTAAAGAAAGATTTAAAAAATCAGCAAAGATACAATTAGAAAAGCTCGACCTCAAAATCACATCGGAGAGTAAGGAAAGGGTAGCCTTTATCGTGCTAGTTTAACACAGGCACAAGATGAAAATGACTATTGTAGGCAGACTTCCCGGGAGTAAGCCTCAGTGAATAACAGTGTGTCTTCTAAGGAAAGACACACAGGACGGGGCTGTGTGTTTATAGCAGAGCAGCAGGAAGAATCTACAGGAAACACAATGAAACACCGAAAGGTCACAGGAATTAATACCAGTCAGTAAGCATGGCTCCCTCAAGGGCCTGCGCTATAGAGACCAATGACATCCAGAAATAAGCAGGAAGGGAGGGGGAATTACATGAGTCCTTTCACACAGCGCATATCTAAACGGGCAGATCAGAAGGTAGAAAAGCCAAGATGGGGGTTATGTCAGACTTCAAGACACAGGAGTGAGCTACGATAACAGGCATGCACACTCCAAATATAAATCGCCAAGAAAGCATCAATGTCTTCTGAAGATCTACAAAGACGTGGGCAAATCTGAAAAGAAGTTTATATTCCCCACAGAGCCCAGAATGTCTCCAGTGCTGCTCAGAGACATTCAAAAGAACCATTTTAGATTTCAACTAATTTTATTTTCTGCAAACCATTCATCTAATCTGCTCAGGTCCTCAGGTTCCCCACTTTCACTTGAGCTGAAACAAGAACCTCTTCTGAAGGGAGCTGCACCTTGATTTATAAACCAGCTACTGTTTTGTGAACCACCTGAATCCGAAACATCAAAACACACTCTGAGCCTGCCATTCTAAGCTCACTGATAACTGCTGCTTTACACATATCCTCAAAAGTAAGTCCCAACTTGTTCCACAAAGCCTCCATCAGCTTCAGTTTTGTTCTCAACCGAACAACCAGCTTTACTTGGAAGCAAAGAAGCTTAAAGTGTGCAAGGCGGTCCTTCCGACCTACTGGAAAACACAGCTGCTTACACCCAAATAAAACCATTTAGAATATGAAAAACTATTCCTTACTTCTATTGCTTTGGCCCACTCACTCTTTGCCATAGGAGGCATTCCTCTTTAATTCCAAATCTGTATTTTTTTGTTTTTTAAAAGACACACTAATAATAAAAGCTAAAGTCTCCCCAGGTTAAACTTGACTCTTGGTGACCTCATGCACATATCCCTGCCTTTGTCATAGTATCAATATACTAGTGGTTTTCCAGTGTCTTCTGGGATGATTTTCATTTTCCCAGTCTAACCCCAAACCCTGGTATTTCCTGGTGGTCTCCCATCCAAGAACTAGCCAGTACTTACTTTTGAGGTCAGCGAAGTACTGTCACTTAGTTGGGTCACATTAAGAGTAACAATACCCAAGAATGCCATATAAAAAAAGCAGGTCAGCTCCAAAAGATGGATCAAGATCTTGCACAACAGCACTGTATTTGCATGAAACAGCAAACCATACAAACTTTGGCCCAGAACAAGAACGGGCTGCAGCAGTGTAGGAACTATCAGCAGCAAGCATCCAACTGCCCACCCAGGCACTGCCAAGGAGCCAGGACCGCTGCAGTAGGAGGCAGGCAGGCGCTGCACTGGATGCTAATCACCTCATTAGGATTCACATGATAAGGCGCTTCTCCACACCGCGGCCTCAGAGGCTGCTCATTCGCTGACAGCAGGAAGGGAGGGGATTCTGCTCCCCCTCCCGGTTTGCTTAACGGCAAATTAACCAAATTATCGACCTAATGCAGGGAAGGGAGGTCGCCCCCCGGCCCGGTGCGGCCTTCGCTCACCAGGGCTGGCCGGAGCCGCAGAAATGAGGCGCAGATTCTCGGCGCGTCTGAGCTCGGGGGACCTACGGCTCCCGGCTCTCCCGTTTGCATCCTTTGCAAGACCAAGAGGAACAAGGTTGTGCCGCAGCCTCCGAGCAGGATAGGGCATGCGGAACGTCCAGAAGGGGCTCTGGCAGCAGGCAGCATTTTAGGAGCCCGGGAAAAAGAAGAGTAAGAGGATCGCCGCCGCCGCCAGGCCTGAAGACGACACTTGCCTCGGGGTCAAGATCCTGCAGGAAATGAGGCGCCCGCTACCAGGGACAGCAGGAGCGGGGGCACCCCAGCCCAGCCCAGCCCAGCCCAACCCTTCGACCTACTCTACGCTCCTCCTAGGCCTCCCCAGGCTCCGCCCGGCACGCATTTTGCGAGCTGCCGTCGAGACGGGGTGAGGGGCCTCTTTCGCGGGCAGTTTTGTAGCCGCGATTCCTCCCCGGGAGGCTTGGCAAAAACTGCCAAGCGCAGAAGCAGCAGGGCGCGGGCGGCGCACACCCGCCGCCGCTCCCTTCCGTCACGTGCAGGCGCCACAAGCCAGCAGCGAGCTCAGCCAGGCAACTTCGCGCTGCAAAGGAAGTCCCGCCACGCAGCGAAGAAGGGGTTAAAGTGAAGTTCCGTAGCATGCAGCGCGACTTGCACAAGGCTGCCACGCTCCCGCCGACCTGCCCCGCAGCCGAAAAAGGGGGCAGTTTCTTCCGTGGTCGCAGGCTCCTTCATCCCCGCTGCAGGAGCTGTTTGGAGGCTTCCCTCTCCTCCGAAGGAGACAGATCGGGGCAGACTTCCCCGCGCCAGCAACCCCACGCTCCCTTGGCTAGGCAAGCACTCACCTGTTTTGAAAAGCGATTAGCAGCCTGGGATCCAGGATATTTTCCTCCGGCTCCCACGTGTTATATCTTGCAAAAGATTAAAAAAAAAAGGCATTACTGATATATTTTAAACATTAACAATAGCTTAGCTATGTATACAGCAATACTACATTTGGGAAAGGAGCCCTTATTTGCAGGCACCTCTGCGCGGTGGGGCCATTTTAGAGGTTGGCTGCATTAGCCACTGCCCCCCTCCCGTTTTCTAGGACCTGTTTCAAAGTGCGCATTCAGGACTGCCGCTAACCCGAGAAGGGGGATGGGTTGGGTGAAGGGAGAGAGGATATGCCGATCTGTTTATTTAGCGCAGTTATTATTCCAGAGGAATTCCACGCATATTACAGAGAACGGGGTTCAAAGCCCCGCCGATCCCCTCAGGGAGCCAGCCAAAAGGACTCCTAGGCTTAACCGCCCCCCCCCGCGCGCTATTTCTAAGCCTGCCGGCCTCTTTACCCCCCTCGACAGGCTTCGTCATTTTAGACATCGACTCCCCTCCCCCCCGCTCCATAACCCCTAGTTCATCTACAGCTCCCTCGATCCGGCAGAAGTAGCAGAGTGGAGGGTCGGTCAGGTTAAATGCAGTTTCACTGCCAGCAGGACAGCAACCTGGTGACCGTGATCGCCTTCCCCGCCCTCTTCATCCCGAACTAGATTCAAGGATTTCAAGCATGGGTGTTTTTAAAAAAATGGGCTTTCCCCTCCCCCTCCCCCCGATCTCCGGAGCTGCTCGGTTCTGCAATATGGAGCCTGCTTTCCAAGGAAAAGGAGCCATTTTCTGCAACTGCTGCACATCAGTCCGCCTTGCCTTCCTCCCCTGAAGCTGCCGGTTCTGCACCCCCCCGGCCTCCTCCTCCTATTCTGCCGCCTCCCCAGTTAATGAGCTCTCCCTATTTAATCCATGCATGAAAACGGAGGCATTTTTCGGGTTCCTAGAGCGTGGCAGAATATTCGCGGGGGCTGGGTCAGACATTGGAGCCCGCGTTAAGGACACCGGGTCCTTACAGCGCCCGATTCTCCTCCCGGGACTTACTTGGAGGACCAGCCCCTCCATTTGACAAGATACTCCGCTCGGCCCTGCAAGAGAAGGATAAAAGGCGTCAGGGTCCGGAGAGATCGCCAGAAGGCTGCCCTCGACCTCCCTTCGGCTGTTCTCCAGCTTCCACCCGTGAGCTTCGAGACTCGCGGCTCGCTCACCTTCCGGATCCGCTGCTTTTCGATGCTTTCCACCGCGAAGACATGCTCCCCCACTACCGCCGGCAGCTCCATTTTTGCTGAATTTTTCACGGGGGATGCGATCGGGAGGAGGGGAGCCCGGGCTCGCGTCCGGCAGACAGACGAGTCTTCCTCGCCGCTCGCTTCGCCTTTCCAGACGACTGAGCTGCAGCCTTTCGCAGCAGCGCAACTCATGCAAATCCCGTTGGGGACGTCAGAGGAGGCGGGGACCTCGCTGCCTGTCAAAGGGGAGCGCGGCTAGACTATTGGCTCGGCGTTGTCGAGGGCTGGGAAAGGGGGAGAGGGAGAGGACGTGAGGGAGGAGGGGCTGAGGGGTGGCTTTACCCCCCTTCTCCTTTGCAGGCGCTGGTGTGTATGCGTGCTAGCAAAGATTTGGCTGCTCCGTTGCTCAGCAAACTACCCTCAGTTCCCTCCCCCGCCCGTAATGTTTCGAAGTGCATCCATGCAGACAGTGCCAGGATCGAATACAGTCCCGATGAAATAGCAGCGGCAGGGCCACGAAGACCACCCTCCAGCCCTCTGTCTGGCCCTACCCCGAGATGCAGCCCAGGACCCCTGATTTTCGACTCCGGGGACCAACCAGGATGACGAAAAAGTTAACTGAAGGACGAACGTCTACTTCGGGGGTGCTTTGGTGCGGCGCCGTCAGAAAAGAAGACCATTCGCAGAAGCTACGGAAGCCCAAAAGAGCATCCGATGTTCTTATTCCCACGTTTACTTTCCCTTGCGGAATCCTTCTGCCATAAGGGAAGAGTTTTTTAGGTGAGGGATGTTGATGGGTCTTTGGACTGAAAGGTCTGGCAACTTTAGTTGGGGGAGGCTGGCCACGGGAGCAGACTGCGGCCTTTCCGGGGTTAGCGGGCAAAATGCGAACTCCTTTGTGTAGGCTTTTTGACACTTTACCTTCCCTTTCAAGAGTCAACAGTTTCTTCGAGTTCGCGACGGGATTTCAGCTCTGATCTTGAAATCCGGATTAATTTCTGATGCACACATAAATAAATAAGTATAGCTGCGATCTCCTTCAAAAGAGTCCCCAGTGCTTTCATTTCCCCGAACATCAGGAGTACCTCTTCGATTATCTCACCTGATTAGTGGAGCTCGGCCACTTTAACTGACGCCGCGCGCACAGGGGCGGGCGAGGAAAAAATGAAGTCGAAAGAGAGGGGAATGACGAGCTAGGAAGTAGAGTGGAAGGTGAGCGGGAGAAGCTGGAAAGGCGGAGATGAGCGCCTGTGTTGATGTCAGGATTGCAATAGTCCTCGGGTCCTGATCCCGCGGAAGACGCGGGAATGCAATGCATAATTTCACTCCGACCGCCTAGACAGGAGAAAGAGAACTGCCTGAGTTGGGTCAAGAGAGACAATGGAAGCCAGTCAGCTGTTGATCGGTTGGGGTGGGGGGAGAGAGGCTATGAGAAACGGAAAACGGCAATCCGGGATTACGAGTGGAGGGGCATCCTACCTATTTTTCCATAAATCGGAATAGATTTTAGGAGCGACCAAAATATTTTTTTCGGCGGTGAAGAGCCGAAATTCTCGTCCCGGAGTTAGGCAAAGAATGGGGGAGGAACCTTTAGGGTTACTCCGGAGCGATCCTGCTACAATCGACGGGACAACCAGCAGCTGCGCAGAGATGTCAGGGAAAAGCTCCAGGTCTAGACCAGCAGTGGAAAAAAGGAGGGTCACACTGGCCCAGAAGTGCCTTTTTCTGTCCGGAGTAACTTCAGGGATTAATGTAGCCTAATGGGGTGTTGTTTAGGTTTTATGGTAGAGATTCATTTAATTTGATGAAAGACGAAGTCAGCCCTGTGGGCAATGCGAACAGGAATCTTTAGATATTTATTTCACACGCCCCCCCCCCCAACACACCACGAAACGCACACACACTCCAGACTGCGCTGATTCTGGAAAGAGTGCAGAACACTTTTTTTCAAAAATCGGATTGCGATGTGCCAAGAGGAGTTGCAGAAGACCTTCGGGGCTGCGGTCAGGTGGAATCCTCTGTCCACACAGCGTCCAGAAAGCGCATTAATCTAAATAAAGGGGCGGATTTTCAATAGTAAAAGAATGATCCTTTCCATACTGTCAGTGTTTCTGAAAAACAGAACCCGGCTGATACTCAAGCACTAAACTACTTGTATCTGGGCTGATCTCGCTCCAAGGGACCCCAAATCTGCATCTGCGTTAGGAAAAGGAGTCGCCAGGAAGGAGGCGGCTGGAGTGGAGGGCGGAGACGCCCGCTGCTTTTTCCAACACATCCAGAAAAATGGCTGGGTTTCGATCATTCCTCGTTAGCTATTAACCGTCTTTAGCTTCAAAAGCACAAAAAGATGGTGCGTTTAAAATGGTGAATTCACTCCTAATTTTTCTTTTCTTTTCTATACATATATATTTCCGCGTGCGAATAGCTGGATTTTTTTTAAAGCATGCTCTTTCTGCTCCTAGTACTTCGACAGTGCTCCCCCTACTGTCGTCTAGCGTAATTCAACACCGCTCCGCTATCTGAAAACTTAATTTAAGGGGGGAAATGTCAGAAACCCCAAGGATCGGAAAGTGGAGTAGGGACAGAGTGGGTAGAGGACTCATAGGGTATCTTCGTTACCCCTTGCAAACATGTATAAAATATGAACTTGGGCTGCCCGAGATCGCAATAATGAATCTCCGCAAATCAGTGGGTTTCTCCCTCCACAGTCTCTCTCTCAAGGTTTATGTGGGCTGCGCCTTTCTCTCTCCAGCGTTCGTCCACAATACCTTCCATATAGAAGCCTTAAAAGTCTGAGAGGCCTTGCCACATTTTAAGATTCTGACCCCTGAGTGCTACCTAGCGGTGAGGATGCTTCAGGTGGGAACCAGCTGAAGCCTGCGAGCCAGCCCCTGGGAGTCCGCCCATCTGAGCCCAAGGAGGCTTGCGTGTGAGTTGCTCTTGCATTGCGTTCCTCAGGACCCGTTGTCAGAGCATGAAGATTTCTCCCCCTGTTCAGATACCGTTTGCAAGTATGTCTGAAGCCGAAAATCATACATCTCTTCTTTCTTGAGGCACGGGCTGAGTTCTTCAGCTGTCGGCAAAAAAGGGAAAGGTAGACCTGGAACATCCTTGGCGCAGCTTGAAATCAGAGAGAGGGTTTGCCAGCATAATACAATGGCTTCGAGCAGATGATCGCAAGCTAGAGAAAGGAGGCGCAGAAAAGCCCTCCCAAGTAGCCCGAACAAGGTGAAATAGGAGACTGACTGGACTGCCAGATTGCACAACTTTAAAACTGCTTTGGCCCCAGGAGTCCCTACGGCTCGCGTCCTTCATTCGTCTCTTCCCCCAAATCTTTCTTTAATTGACTCATCCCAAGTGGAGTAATTTAGGTAGGATAAAAGTCTAAATACTTTAGAAGTCAGGAGCCCGAGACGTCCCCCGATTTTCTTCCCGGTGTCCAGTAGAAGCCCCACCTTCTACCGGCATGCTGAGGTGGACTCGCTGTTCCGTCACTAACATCCGACATCTTAATCCCGCGCAATCCCCCAGAAACTGGAGCCGATCAAGCCCGCGGAGACCAGAAGTTTCGAGCTGATAGGAAGCGACTGAGGACGACAGCTGAAGAGTCTGCAATGATTGAATGGTACCGAAGGAAAAATGACTGCCTGTGTTGGAAAAATACAACCGCCCCCCAAAAAATCTTGAAGCTGCCGGGGGCAGGCGCCAAAGGATTCCTGTATCTTTTAGGAGCTGAGCCAGTTTCAGCCGGCTTCTCCCACATGCTTAACTTCATTCTTCTTCTCTGCCCGTCTCATCTGCAATCAGGATCGCCTAGCAATAAGAACTTTAGCGAGGGACCGATCGATAACTTCCTGAATTCACGTCAGCCGCTTATTCTCGTCAGCTTGTGTCAAGGAGGCATCCTTGCTCCAGGATCCCGGCAAAATAGGCTGTTGGTCCCGATCTTTCCTCCTAGTTTCGGTTGCATTCTTGCTGAGAAACTTAGGCTTTAGGATCCATATTATTCTCACCACTGCGTTAAATCGGCTTCCACGGTGGATCTCTGCTCTGCTTGTGGGGCTCTGCCTCAACTACGCCTGGAGCAGAGTCTTTCTTTTTGGAAATCGGCAGTTAAGGAAATAGGAGAATCTCAACTAGACGCCAAAGAAAGAAAGTAGCCGGTAATTATGGGTTAAATTGGGCAGAGTGTATTGATAATAATTCTCAGCCTAGAGAAGTGCAATGATTACAGCTGCTAGTTCCGACTGCCTCAATCGGACTTACACACCGAGTTGTGTGTTGCATGTTTTGTGCTCATCAACAAACAGGCATCTTCTCTCTATCCAGAAATAAGCTCCGCTAAGTTTAATGGAACTTCTTTCCAAGGAAGAATCCTTAAGATTGCGGCCATAAATGGACACACATGCACCCCCCCCCCAAACTCGTCCCAACCCTTTCTAAGCGAAACTTCTATTTATTGGAGCTTGTTCTCTTGCATAATTGACAATTAAGCCAAGGTTCCGAGTCAAAAAATATCGATCAGCTGCCCTGTTTAAAAGGAAGCTGTTCACACCCGAAACTGAACTGCTGCGTTTACTTGGGTGCACATTCCAGTACTGCTGCAGAGAACTTTTGCACGACTGAAAGAAACAATAATTCGGCAGAAGTCCTCATTAGACTGACATGGCGATCGCCTCTGGATCTGGGGTATCCAGGGAACCTCATTTTTGTCTTAGGGAAGCAGCAGAGAAGCGGCGTGACAGACTTCTGGGGTTCGGCCGCTTGTTGAACTGTAGTTTCGCTGAATGCTCCAGTCCAACATTTCTTCGGAATACGTCGCTGGTCGCTCGCAGGTCAAACGGAATTGGCCAGCTGGTGAGGAATTAATGGCGATGAACCATCGTCACAACAATTCGTCTGAACCCCCTTTCCACCAGGACCGGCTCGGACAGCTGATCTACAACAGCCTGGAGAGGAAAGATAAAAACAATGCTTAAAACGACAGTTGGATTTAATGTAATCCGCAAAAAGTTCGCCCCCTCCAACGGGACTACTGTACCTGAACTGGGCGGGCGTTTGCTTTTGGAAGAATTCCTCAGACTCAGCGTAGGACGCAAGGCTGAGTCCCCGGTCTCGAAGCTTCCCAGGCTTTCCCTTCGGCCCCAGAATCCCAGGATCCCCGCCAACAGTTCC